GTTACAAATATATATACTTAAATACTTATGATTCATTCCTATGTTACAAATATATATACTTAAATACTTATGATTCATTCCTATGTTACAAATATATATACTTAAATACTTATTGAATTTCAACAGGTTATTTTATTTTCTCTAACAAACTTCCTGTAGCAAAATCTGTTGCTTATTAGTGCAATTCAATTTGGATCATTGTTGCTAGTCAACATTAACTTTCTAATTGTGGATATATTTTGCAGAGTGGTTAGAATTTCAACAATGATACCTTGATTTGAATCTCAACAGGGTCAAATTGTCAAGGAGGTAGCTTCTTGATAAAATCAGCAGGGGGAGATGATCCCAGTATTTGATACCATTGGGAAGTACTTGTAAACTATACCATGGGTTGACCCATGCCTTGTGAGTGGAATTGGGTAGACAGAAGCTAAGGGATGTTATGCTAACACAATGTCACATGTCATCTTGACCGAGGATTTGATTGTACTGTTCTGGATCAACCGCTTATTATATCAGATTATTTTCTCTCTCCCAGAATCTAAGTTCTGCTCAACGTAATTGTAGTATAAACCACAACTGACCCCAAAATAGATAGTGCTGGAGTGAAGGACCATTGCAGTGAGTAAGTAGGACATGCTTGAAGAAATCTATGAGTACCAATCAATGCCGTGGCGAGTAGGAGGGTACCACAGTTAGCACAGAAGCCTAGGGTGTGATCCCAGGTGAAGCTGACCATGGGTGCAGATCTCTGTGGTAGTAGCAAATATTTGAATGAAACCAGTGAAAACTGAAGTGGAAAAAGGTCGAGCACAGGTCGGTCAGTCCTAGGATGTGGGTGAGAGCCTTCCTGAAAGGCATTGAATCCATAAGTGTCTCACAGGGGAAATTTTCTTTGTTTCTGCCTGTTTCTTGTTTCACTAGAATACACAAAAATATGCCTGAGCAGGTGTCTACAAAAGGATTAGCTTGCCACCCTAGTAGGCTCTATAACTTTCTGAGACTGATGCTTACAATTATGAAGACGAGAAGAGTTTTGCTATAGGAAGTGTTAACTTTTTATGGAATTTATCCATGAAAAAAAAAATTATGACTAACAAAATGTACTACTTGCCAAAAATAATAATGAAAGTCTGTCCTATGCACATTTCCTGAAAAACATTTTGGTTGTAATTTACCTTTGGGGCATGGGAGGGGAGGGTTTGTGCACTAATTACATCAACCTTCTACCTGTGAATTGGGCATCATAAACTATAATTGTTTTCATTCACCTTCATGCCTACAGGGGGCCGACACTATTTTTGGGACACTTTGAAAAGTGTGCTTAAAGGTGTTTTTTGCTGCTGAGAGCTTTTGTGTTGATGAGTAGGTAGTTCAGCAGTAACTGTCCATTAATGGTATGAACATTGATTGATGGGTTTGTCTTTGGTTTCGTGTTTTCTTTATTTTTACTTCCACTTAGGCAACACTATTTTTCGGACATGACAAATTCCGGGTTTTTTAATGATTTAGTTGTTGAACATCTACAATATGCAAATTTTCTGCAGGTAAATTGTACCCTGACCATTACATTTGAGTATCTTTACCATTCACTGAGAAAACGTATTAAAATCCTGAAGAAGAATGCCTTCAAAAGAAGTCATCAGTTTGGTCCAAAAGAAGAGAGAAGACAGGCTCAGCATCTGAAAGATCACCGCTGAGATGAAGCTACCGAAGCCAACAGTTGAATACATGCTAAGTACAGACTATGAGCGGAAGAAGAAGAGAGGACAGAAAAAACAATTTCCAAGAGAACAGAAAGAAGAATGAAAAGGAGTGTTACGAGGTTGTTATCTGGAGAAAAGGTGACAGTGAAGAAAGTAAAGGAGAAGTGTGAACTTGACGTCAGTGTTCGAACTGTACAAAAGAAAGCTACATGAAATTGGACTTAAGTATGCTAAAATCAAGAAAAGAATTACACTATTGAGAAAACACAAGGAGGCAAGGCTGGGAAGTGCCAAAAGATGGAAAACAAACCATGTCGACTCCAAGAAAGTGATATTTACTGATGAAAAACGTTTTAAGTTTAATGGACCTGATGGGTGATGTACATGGTCAAGAAAAGGTGAACCTGTTGTTCTCCACAAGAGACAGATCGGAGGAGGAGGAGGAGTCATGGTTTGTGGTATGGTATTTCCGAATGGAAACTTGTGGCTTGGGTGGTTAAAAGGACGTCAAAATAGCTTGAGCTACAGAGAACTTTTGGAAAAGAGAGCCCTACCACTCATAGAAAAAGTGCAGCAAGATAACTGCAGCATCCATGTGGCCAAATCAGTGAAAAATTGGATGTGTGAAGCAAATATAACTACTCTGGAATGGCCTGCAAGAAGTCCAGACTTAAATTTAATTGAAAACATGGGAAATGCTTGCAGAGCTTGTTTACGACGGACCAGAAATAACCAGAGAGGCTGAACTGTGGCAGCACATACAAGATGCTAAAAATAGACTGCTAGAAACACGAAGAGACGTTATCAATATGTACGAACATTATGAAGATAGACTGATAGAAGTCATTGAAAAAAGGGTGCTGCCATAAACTATTAGTATTGTTTCTGCAATGTCTGAAAAATACTGTCGCCTGTGTAATGTTAAAATTTGTAAAAAAAATAAAAATACTTCTAATTTGAATTCTGCTTTTCCATTTGTAGTATTGAAACAGTTTTTAAATGTTATTGCCATTACACTAAAACAGTACAGACTGCCTGTGCTAAAACTTGAAAAAATAAAGTGTCTGAAAAATAGTGTCGGGCCCCCTGTATAAAAAAAAAATCCTAATATACAAATCAAAAGCCAATATAAATTAATCACTGTTAACAGTATTTGTGCTTTTCTGGATTGTGAACATTTAGTAAAATTTAGAAGATTCCTAATTATATAATTTTAAATTTGATTTTTTTTAAAACATTGCAGCAATTTATTTGTAGGGGTTTGAATTTTTATGTGGCCTTGTTTAACCTTTAACACAATACTTTCCTTTCCACTGCTTTGCTTTCCACTGTTGTGTTTTTTTTTCCAAGGCTCCTCTACTGCATTACTTAATTTCAGTTATAGTCATTTTCTGTTGTCATAGCAGGATATGACAACACAACTGCAAAATACAAACACGCTATCATTCATTTAACTGGGTCATTTGCAGTGGCAGGATAAAATGTCTGCTTTTCAAACAAAATCATCTCCAGAAGGTTACTTCCACAAATTTATTGAAAAGGTAAAGAATGAACAAGGGTTTGTGAGATATAATAAATTTTACATTTTTGTGTACTTGAATTCTCTCTCTCTCTCTCTCTATATATATATATATATATATATATATATAATCTTGTTTGTTGTTTTTTTATTTCTTTAAAAAAAAAAACCCTTTGAAGTGGAAAGAATAAAATGTAACTGAAGAGGAAATAAAAGTTACTTATCTTATTGGTGAGAAACTAAAAGTTGATTTGAATGGATGTGTAGTAATGAACATCAAGAAATGAATCTTTTATTCCTTTTTTTCAAATTTTTCTTATATATATATATATATATATATATATATAAGAAAAAATGTGGTTTATACTGTAACTATGCTGAGCAAACCCTAGTTATAGTTTCTGGAAGAGAGCATGTTATCTAGAATGAACAACAACAGCAGCACACTCAAACCCTCGGTCATGATGACTTGTGAATTCATGTTAGCACCGCTATCCATGGCCGCCAAGTGTTCCGTCTATCCAATTTAATTCACAAGGCTTGGGTCAACCCGTGGTATGGTTTTCAAGCTGATATATGGTTTATGCTTGAGTATACAAGTATCCCTCTAGGTGAACTTTCCTGAGACAGGTCTTAGTTCTCTGCAGGGGCGACAGTTGATTTATTCTAGGCCCCACTGACAGGATAATGATTTGATAAATAATAATATAATGAATGTCATAGACTTGAAATAATATTTGTAGTAAAGTTTTATTGAAAAAAAATACTTTTGATTCACCTCGATAATTAACTCCTATGAATTGTAGGGATTCTTTAGTCACTTATTCATTAATGTAAACTTTTTTTTCATTTTATTTCATTTGGATATGGCGCCGTATTTTTTTTCTTTCCAAATGATTTCTCATTTCTCTTTTTTATTTTTCTTTCAGGAGAATTCTTTTGAGATTTCTGTACGCAAATGCAGTGAACATATCAAGAGAGATATTGATGGCAGTTTTCAAGGGGCTTGGATTTTAACAGAGTAAGATGTTTTTATTAATTATAGATTTGTTAAAAGAATCTGGAATTATCTTATTAAGGAAGTTAATTGTTTATATTGCATGCTTTGAATATAATAAAGATTAAAATGAGCTTATTGAATTTAAAGAATTACTCTATCTTCCTCACTAAAAAAAAAAAAAAGAAAATCATTTACAATATTTTTCTTCACTCAAATATACAAATTTAGCAAAGTTTTTTTTTTTGTGGGGGGGGGGTGGATGTGGAAGTAGCTGGTTTTGAAATCTTGACTTCTGTTTCTTTTTGACAAAAATCTTTCTCGACAGGGTGTTTGTAGAACATTTCCCCAGAAAAATACTAACAAGATCTAATTTAGCTTTCTGTTTGGTGTTATTTACTATTTATGCTTTTCAAGTCCTTCATTAGTAAAGTATTTATTATTGATATCAAATTCCACTTAATCACTTCATTAATTGGTAAGACAAAACAGGAACAGTTTTTATTATTTTCCTTCATTGTTGTATCACTTATCTATTATTGAGTGATTTGTTTTCTATGGCTTATCAACCTTCTGCAGGTTATTTAAAGCCATCAAATTTTTCTTTTATAAATTGTAAGAATTTTTTGAGATAATTATTTACTGATACAAGTCTTACTAATTAACCCATAAATGGGAGTAGAGATGGTTTCATACCTTTCTGAAGAGTATTTGCGCATTAGTGAGTATAACAAAATTGACTTAAATTGGAACTCTGCTCTCCTGAGCTGTTATCCATTACACCATCTGCACATCCCAAGCAGTCACCCATCTATGTACAGAACAGGCTCGATGCTACTTAATTTCAGTGATCATATGAGAACCAGTGTTTCAATGTGATATGGCTGTAATTCATTTATCCATTTTCCTTAACTTTAGAAAAGGTAAACTTCTGATGCTGTCTTTGAGAATCAAAGGTTAGAAATATAAGATTCATTGTTTATTGAATTTATTATTCAATCTGAAATTCTATTCTTGCAGTTCTTAAAACCTCAAAAGAAAAAAAAAATGTTTTGACTGCTGATCTCATTTTCTTATCATCACAACCATTTTCAGTAGTTTACTCACAAAATAAAGATACTCTCCCCCTGAAAAAGGCTGTAGAAGGGATCAGCCAAAATGCATTTTTTCTTCTTCTTCTTCTTCTTAACAATTATGTTAACCCTAGACTTGAACAGGTTAAGTTTGTAGTGATCAGGGCAGCATCCTCTCTGGAGTCAGTTCCACAAAGCAAGAATCCACATGGTAAGAATCTGCTCAGTTGGAACTTACGTCTGGCAATAGAATACAAAAATAAAATGCAGATGGTTTGCTACAATACTTGATGAGTCTTAGCCATGAAGGTTAGATCTAGTGGAACTTAGTCTGAACCTTTTCCATTGAAATACCAGTAGAACAGTAAGAGGCTTGCAACATTTCATTTGTGGGGAAAGGGGTTGTAGGGTGGGAAATAATTCATCACCCACAAGCACACAGATATGCTTTTGGATTCTATTGAGACTAGAAAATAAAGACTAAGCAACTCTTGCCAACATATGGCAACTGTACTTCATTTTCAGCCTGATCTGACTCTTGTAAAGGTAGAGGATAGAAGGTGGAGTCAGGTCCTTACTGGAGTGGTACTTACAGGGAAGAGACCATTTTTCCAGCATCTTTAGCAGTGGATCATGTATATGAGTTCCACTTGAGGCCTCATTGGCACTCAAGGCACAGGCCTCCCCAAGAGAACTCCCATTCACCTGAAAATTTATGTTCCACTTGGGAATGATGGAATAAAATAAATTCTCTCAAAATTACTGACAGTATGAAGGGATGAATTCAGCCACTTTGCGTAACATTTGAAGAATTAGTTCATTGAAAATCTAAAAGTTTCTCATACTGAAAAAAAAATGAAATGAAAATATTGGTGAAAGTAATTGTTAACATTCTTCTTTTATAACCCTTAACTTTTCAGAACATTCCTTAAAGTTACAATAAACAAATAATCAAATATTTTTTTGTAAATATTTGAAAACCCTCAAGGAACATGCAGCTCTGATTATGTAGACTGATATATACCATACCTATGAAAACTAATGGGTATGTCCCAGTCCTCATAAATATGTTGGACTCTATTGTAAGTAGGCAGGGGGCAATACCACCACTAGCAGTGGTTTATCTACTTCATGCCACTGGCGAGTATCGTATTTTGTTGATGTTATAAAGATTACCATTTCATTCCCAAGCACCATTTTGCTTATCCCTCATTCAATAACCTTTTCTAGGTTACAACATAGACAAAAATAATTCCAGTGAATTCTTATATCTTAAGTTTTTATTGTGATTGTAAATTCTGAATGTTACTTATGTCAAGAATTTTATACAGTCACAAGTAGCACTCAAGTTATTGATAGATCATTGATAGAAAAAAAAAATACAAACCACACAAACAAGCTTTCTTAAAAGCAGGAAGAAAAATAAATAAAATTATATTTCTCCAAAGAAAGTAAATATTTGTATGAGAAAAAGAAATTAACAGATTTAAGTTCTATCAGATTGTATTTTTTTTTCTAAATTTTTACCAATTCCCTTCAGGACATAGGATTCTTTTTTTGTGAATTGCTATGGCTTCTTTTGAAGGATAGTTGAGTGGTTTTCTGTTGCCTTCTCCAGAATTTAAAATTGCTTTTCTCCTAGACTGGCTGCTACTCAAGGCTAGAAAATCCAGTCCGCCCTGCTATTTAACCCTTGGCTGGAGGAAGAATAAATGAATTGATGCCTTTCCCAAGGACATCAAAGGTTAAAAACACGGCCTTGAGTGAGCAAAGCTTTTGGGTCATGGCAAAAGCTATCCATCTTTGAACATTGTGGACTAGTTCTACAGAATCACAAAGAAAGAATGGTACCAAATAACAGAAACCACATCACTTTAGGACTATCAACAGTAGCAAAAACTAAAATGGATGGCACATATAACTTAAGAAATAATGATATAATCAAAATGTTGAAATTCTGCACTACTTAATATGAAAGGAAACTCCCATCAGTACTGGAAAGAGCAATAACAGTTACTGGACTTGAGAAACCTATTTTCCTAAAAAATTGTTTTGAAAATTTTATAAATTTCAACCAAAATTAGTACTAGCTGCTTGATTGATGAGTGCTGAATGTCTTAAGGAAACGGTTAATATTACCATTTCTTTAGGATCAATAGATTCTCTTGGGAGTCTTTCTGTAAGTGCTGAACATTAACCTCTGTCTTTTCTACCCACTGGTATTTTAAGTAAATTTCCTCTTTACAAGTTACCTGTGTACTTGATACTTTGTCATGTATTTTTATTACAATATTTTGGATAATGAATCTTTCGGGTTTCTTTTGATATTTATGGCATTTTCTTATCTTCTGGGAATGTTAAATAAATCCTTTTATTTAATCCAAATGTGTCTGTTGTCCTGATTACTTATGTCTGGTATCATTTTTCCAAATTCATCAGTTCTTCATTTTGATGTCAGTTTTCACTGAGCAAGTATATATTTCTGCACTGCTTACTTCAAGGATTGAACTAACATCAAGAAACCAGATGAGCATTCAAAAGTGATTTTCTTTTCTAATTTGATATTTATGCTTAGCTTACAGATTAGATTTTAAGCATAACACATGCATCATATTTTTCAATCATTTTATTTTTCAGTATTATTATACCTCTAATCTTTTGATTTGGTTTCTTTTGTTTTATGGCATATCAACACCTCAATGGGTTATTTGATGCTGACAAGATTTTTATTGCTGGTAATTTTTTTTTTTCAAAAATGCATTGTTGGTATTCTTACAATAAAACCTATTTTTACACTTTCATAGTGTTTTGATCCCAATTTAGGGGTTAACTATTTGCTCATAGTTGGGACCCTAACAGGTGCTACCACCCTGGGTCAGGGTGAACCTGGGAACAGCAATTAAGAGGTGGTTCCATGCTGCTCAAAACCCCCTGATCAGAGGCTTTGCTGCCAGATGTAGTTTATCATCATACACAGGACCTCTAATCTTTTGATTTTATAAGGTTTTGTGTGCATTTATATCAGACTAGACAACAGGCTTCAAACTTCCTCTTTCTTTTTCACTGAAAGAAATGACAGAGTAAAAAATTCAGCCAAAAAAAGTACTGTAGCATCAATGTTAGATTAGGAATCCAACTTTGTGGTCCATAGTTTGTATTAGAATATTTACATACTGAAACATTTAATAAAGTATGTACAAAGTAGATGTCAACTTTGATTCAGTTTTTCTTTTGTTTTTGCAATGTGAATTACTTGACTTTTTAATTACTCCAATTTTTTTTCCTTTATGTCAGAGAGTCCAACCTGATTACAGATAATGACATTGGCTACTTGAGTGCTTGTATTTTTCCAAATGACCTTATCACTAAATTATTCTGTGGCTACAAATTCCATTAAACCAGCCTCTCCACCTGGCGTTGCACCTCCTCCCAGAAACAACTATTTTTCCTTTATGTTGTAAAACCAACCCAAGTTGCTAGAGAAACAGCTCTACCAATGAAATACTTATAGAATAAAGGGAGGTGGAAAAGTCACCAGCAGTCAGCATATGCATTGAGAGTGACCTTAGTCAAAGCATGAGGTGGGAGTGGAGAGAGTCCTTCATTATATACAGAGTATACATATTGGCTTAATGACTTGGTTTTCTGCAATATATCTTGAGATTGGGTAGTTTGGGAAGAAAAGAAAGAAATGTGAAACTAAATATAAATTTTTTTTTTTTTTTGAGTAATTTTTCTGTAGATCAAAGGTTCAAACTAAAATTCATCCATTTCCATAGAAAATCTTAGGAATCTCAACTATAAGATCTCTGGCTAAATGCTTTTTGCTTACAAAATGCAATTTCAGATAATAATGCCAAGACAGTATTTGTTTGTTTTACTTGCTGAAAATCTTAAGTGCATTGCTATGGAAGGTTGAAATAGGGCCTTTGGTCCCAATAAGTGATCATAGATCATTGGATTATATATTTATTTAGGTATACCTTACTTGAAAATTGGCACTATCATGAATTCTTGTATCTAATTTAAATATCTGGGTACACAAAAGATACCCACTTTTGTTTTGGGATTTTTTTCCCTTTGGAGTTTCTGACTAGAAATTTATCTGCTTTAATTTGGTTAAAGAAAAATTTTCAATTTAGTGAAACTGACAGATACTAAGTGAGAAGCATTATGATTTGTTTTTAGTTAGGTACCTCCACGAAATCGCTAAAAAAAAGCATAGCTTGATGAAAAAGACGCCAACCTTGCCGAAACCAAAATTTTATTGTCTAAATGCTTTTGTTATTATTAAGAGGAAAGACCAAAGTTTTTTTTTTTTTTAATTATTTTTAAAAATTTTTTCCTTCTTTTTAGAACATTCTAAATTTTGATTAAAAAAAACCTTGTTTCTCTTTGTTTCACCACAACTAGTAAAATAACATAGACAATTTTTAGCACATTTTTTGGTATGACATACATTAATTTGGAAAATCTTGCAAAAATAAAAATTGTCAGATGTTAATGAAACTTTCAGGAACTATTTACAGATGATTGAAATTATTATAAATATGTTTTTTTTTTTTTTTTTTATTAAAGTCATGGCAGAAATATTTTTTTATATTTATTATCCCCGCCATAACTAATTTTATGAAAATGCTAGAAATTCGATCACATCGGGTTTAGTGATTACAATAGTTAAAAACACAAGGTTTTGAGGAATGCAAATAATGTTTTTTTTTTGTTTTTAATTGGACTCCATCTACCTGAAAATCAGCTCTCAATTGTAACATACAAAACTCAATAAAACAAAGATATGATTTAATTTCAAATACT